CATCCTGCTTGCTAAAGTTTTGAAAGCAATAGGGTAAATCATGAGTAGCAGTCTTGGGTCATATAAAAAAAGCCCTAGCCAGGACCGAAATATAAGCCAGGTCGAAAAGCTAGTTGAATGATTAGTAAGGAAGATATCAGCTTAATCTGGTTTGATTGGGCCACATTGATACTAAGTCATTATTTTTCCCTTATATCTCATTCGCCTGTGCCTCATTTGTGAATTGAAGGAAGCTTGCGCTTTAATGCATACATATGGTTTGGGTGAATAAATTAGGCAGACGAGTCTTCCCCAGGAATTGAACTCGCAACATTTAAGAGGTTTGAAAGATGAATCTTCAAGCAAAATGAGATAGGTTTGACAATTTTGCTGTTGGAGATGAGATAGGCTAACGAGCCAAATTCCAATTAGAGTTTGTTTAAGGAATTGTTAAATTCTTCTTCATAAATAGTCTATAATGACAACGTAACGGCAGTATCCATCAAGAGGAAAGATAAGTCATAGTCGGTATTCAAAATCAGTTGGTAGAGTATCTGGCTGGTGTAGATGAGTACTTATGTGACATTCTCATTTCGCGTACATCTCAGTGTCATTTGCATCTTCGCTTTTTCGTCCACCATCAGCTCAGCAACCAGATTTGGTACTAATTTAGAATTTTAATTAGCCTGTCGCTTAATTTTATTTAAGGGCTGATAAGAGTTCCTACAATTAAATGAGTTGGCCTCAACGCCATCAAATTTTATCTAGCCTTGCCTTCTCATCCAAGATAGAATGCAGTTTTCCTCTTGCATATGTCCCATTAGCACTTTCTCCCACATACTTTATAGTGGTATTGCTGATGAGGCAGATGTGTATGTAATCTGACGGCCCTGGCTTGCCTTAGAAGTCAGTCACATCCGCCACATGAGCCACTATAACCCGTGGCGTTGGCGTATTGGCAACTTATCGACGCATTACTTGTACGACTCGGTTTAAAATCTCTGAGGGAATTAATGAGACTCTGAATGATAGATACTTTTGAAGTCGTAGGCTGAGTTAAATTATCTTGCACCACCAGGCCTACTCATTCCATTAAGGCAACTCCTACTATAAGTCCTTAAATTGTTTAAGCGGTCTAGGCTGACTAAATTTCTTATTCCAGAGCTATCGACAATCCATAAACATACTCTTATCCAATACAACCTTAGCATTGATTTTTTATTAAGCCGGCATAGCACTCTTTATTAAGTGGTCTCTGCTATTTATTGCCAAGACATTTTACTTCCCAGTATTGCATAAGTAAAAGTTTGGTCTTGAAAAATTGAAGATTTATAATGCCTGTATCTGAAAAATTCAAAATTTTAACTTCTTACATGGGTATTTTATGTGTATTTGACCCTAGCTCTAATTACCAACCCGCCTCCAGCCGATCCAGGGAAGATCCTCCCTCAAATCCATCCCATTCCTATGACGCTGACGAAGATAGGTCACGCGGATACTCCTCTAAGGGCCGGTTCTCTCGCACCAAAGGCCTTTCAATTAGAGCAGGAGCTGGTACTGGAACATCTTCCTCTCATACTGGAAGTCCCAGCACCGCCAATTCAACCTCTGAAGAGAAGGTCATTTGGACTCCAAATCGGGCTCATAATCATCGCCCCCAAGGTTACTCTTCGATGAGGAAAACCCAACTGCATAAGAATGACCCATAGACGTTCCATTTGTCTCTACTCCATTGACTTCTGTATCTATTTATGCTTGTGAAGAAGACTTCGTTTAAGCATATCCAATGAACTCTTTATTCCTGCAGGATTCGTTCAATCATCTCTTACTTCCTGTGCTGGACCCCCGCCATGAACTGTTTGATTTTAGAATTCAAAGCTGCGATATATTATTTTTTGTCGCCCTGTGAAAGTCGTCCCCCCAAATTTTTCTATTTCTTA